TCATATTTAAGATTCTCCATGGTCGTGTGTCGCACTACTGCTTGGGGTTGATTCTCACTGAGCTGAACAGGATGAGGGACTTGGCTGACGAAGTGTATGCTCGGTGCGGGTGTGCTATTTCAGTAACTCATGGATTACCTTGCGCATGCACCATTCACCGCGTTATTACAGAAGAAAGGGCGTCGTTACATGTTGATCAGGTTCATTCATTCTGGCGGACGCTCGTTATTGGTGAGCATGCAGATACTCAAACGCCCGACCGTGAACAGGAGGAGTTGGAGCAGTTTCGTTCAATGTACGACCGAGTGTCCTCCAGCCATCCTTCTATTATTCGTGACGCTACTCATGTACTTCATGACATGTTCCACACGTCTACCTTAGATTTTGAGGAACCCGAAGGAGTTGACCGTCCTCGAGGTCGGCAACGGCGGAACAGGAGTGCGTTTGAGTATATCCGTGGTCTTGGTCGTGGTCGTGCTCGTGGTCGGATATCGTCATCTAGTCGTAGTCAATCTTCATCGTCTATGAATATGCCCCTGAGAACTGGTACGTTTTGGTTTTTTACATTGCACATTGTTTATAAGGTTACTCCTGCCTTCTTAACTATGTTTAATTATATGGTGAATAGGAAGAAACGATGTTGATCAGTTTCCGTACAAGGACAGGATACCTGCGATCATCATGTCGTACTCGGAAGGGTGGAATGATGTAGTCGGAGATGGTAACTGCGGATTCTGGGTCGTGGCTGATGTTTTTCAAATGGGCGAAGACAACTACGGTTTGGTGCGTCAGTTGATGTACAGCGAAATTGCCTCTAACCGAAATGTTTATCGTCATGTGTACCAGGATGACTTGGATGGCGCTCTGCGGCATATCCGGTGGGGAGGTGGACCTTGCGGTCAAAATCATTTTTTTGAGCGCCCCTAGATCTGTTTGCCGTTGCAAACATTTACAAGTGCGCAGTCATGCATTTCGGGCTGGGATTGCATAGTCAAGCTTATTATCCTTGTACCACGGTTCTCCCTTGGCGTTCGCGTGAGACTGTCACCACACCGGTCAGAGAGGTAGCTATTGCGTTTCTTGGGTCGTCATACAGACATTTCATCCGACTAGACATGTCATCCGATTTTCCAGTGCCACAGATTATACCTCGGTGGTACACCATTCGCACAGCGAGTGTAGAGGGTTGGGATGCGCTATATCATGACCGGATCCACGAATGGAACACCCTAGCTGCATTTTAGTTTTTCATGTTTACATTCTTCCTATGTAACCTTATTTGTACGTTGCTCTTTTAATGAGAACATTAATTTTTTATATTGTATTGCTTACTGCATTCTATATGTTGCATGGGTAAGTTGCGCGGATCCACGAACGGTTATGTCAAAATTTAAAAACAGCAATGATAATATGTCAAAGTTGAAAGCTAAAAGAACAATCTAAAATGTTACAAACTTAAAACATAATGTCCAATTTAATAAATTAAAACGATAATATTTAAAGTGCTCTATAAATAAAATGACAAAACCATCAATAATCCCTCCTCGACACCGACTCCCAATGCGCAAAGGTCTGTTCCAGACTATCAACAGCAACTCTCACTGTTGCACTCATGTTGTCCTTCTCCAGAGAGAGTTTCTGTACGTCCTGCATTATCTTTCCCATCCACTGCATACAACAAAAAATAAAAGATGAAATACAATAAAAACATATAAAACTTAATTAAAAAACAACGATAAATATTTTATGAGACATACCGCTTCCATGGCAGTAGGCGGTGGCACATAATCATCATCGTTGTGGTCGAGATCTGCGATCAACCTCGGGTGCGAATACCGGTTGAACCATTCCATGTAGTAGTGGTCACACATGGGAGGAACCCCAGAGGGCGGCCGCTGCAACTCCGCAGTCCATAAGCGGGCCACCATCGGAAACTGGTCCCACGTCCCAGTCATGATATCTGGCCATTGCACGACGTAGTCCCTCGACGATGCAGGTCGGACCGCCTTCATCGGGCATGCCGGGGGAGGAGGGACAACTTAGACAAATCCAAGTTGGCGAAGACAACGCTGGGGCATGTACGCCTCGACGATCTCACGATACTGAATGAGTCCCGTGTACAGGGTCCTGGGCACCCTAACACTAGGGTTCGGGCCGAAAGGCATCCAGTTCACCTGCACATAGTTTTAAAATTTAATAACATGAATATAATAAGTGCATATAATAAAATGTAGAAACAATTTATAAATGTTACCTCTAAGGGGGACAGCCTGTCAAGCAATAACCGTATCGATCGGAGGCGGTCAACGGACTTCTTCTCCGAGCGCGGACTCCACGCACAAGCACGCGGCATCCCCTCATCAATAGGAACCGGGTCACGATGTGGTCGCAATGCAGGAAAGTACTCGTATATCCAGGTCTGCAATAAAGTTAGACACCCAGTGATACCTGTCGCGTCAGCCCGACTCGCAAATCCTAGTTGGCGATACAAATACGCCAACGTAGCCGATCCCCAAGAAAACTGGCCTACACTGTCGGGGTCACACGCCTCTACTATGTCGTGTGGCCTGAGCTTGTTTCCGCCGCTCTTATTCGGAAACAAGGTACATCCGAGGAGTAGAAAAACATAAGCAGCCAGCTGTGCGTCGTGCGTCCTACGTGCACTGGGGTCCAAACACCGCTGCAACACGAATGCGATCTTCACACCGCCGTGTTCCCAAACACCAAGCGCCTCAGTGTACAGTGCAGCCCTGTCCACCGCCAACAACTCCGCCAGCAAATCTGCTTGATCCGCATCAGCCACAGCACAAAGTCGTTTACCCTCAACACGAATCCCCAGAATGGCCTCGACGTCATGTAACATGATCGTCATCTCACCGAACGGAAGGTGGAAAGAGTTTGTATCCGGCTGCCATCGCTCAACGAAAGCTGTGATCAGCGTACTGTCAATCTTATCGTGCATGGTGGCAGGAACGTTATTCACCTCAGTGCCCTCCAATCGCTCGAACATCTCGCTCTCCGCCGGCCAAGCCTCAGCCCATGTACGCAAAAAGCTACAAGTCTTTTCCCGGGTATGACATTTCAACAACCCCGTAACTGAAGGCCTCTCCTGGTCCTCCCAAATACGGGCAGCTATGTGTCCTAGAAAGCTAGAAATCACACTCCCGTCAACAGGCCCACCGGGCACCTCACTCCTAACAACCCAATAATCATTAACGGCCCTCGACCGTTTCCTGCTTGCCCCAGATACAGTGGACGCAGATGATGTGCCAGATCTACTAACAAACCTACCACCCCTACCCTTACGCACCTCCACCATATGTGTCTCGTACATGTCATCAACCCTCTGACTGAATGGACCGTAATCATCATACGGTCCACTCCCATCGTCCACATCCTCATCCTCATATGCGCCCTCCTCCTGCTCCTCCTCCTGGTCACCCTCCTCAGCATCATCATCGTCATCGTCATCCTCATCCCGACGGTGGATCCGTTCTCTACAAACCGAGGCCGAAATACCACGGGATCTAACATGTCTATGCCCCGACCTCTCCACTGAATAGCTTCTACTAAGAAGCTCTATATTCTTCCCCACACCATGACGACCCAGTGAATTCTACAAAAAATTTAAAAATATATAAACATACAAAAGTTTTTTAGAAAAATAAATAACTACCTACAGATACAAAATACCAACACTTCCAACATATCGTCATGTTTATAAACATAAAATTAATAAATATTATAAAAAATCAAAGACATAATAACTAAATAGGACACAAAACAAAAATTTCAAATTATTTCAACTAATTAAACATAGAAAAATATTATACGGCATACACAAATACACACATAATACCCTAATATATTACAAAATTTATGATTTCCAAAAAAAATAAAAATTATTTCAAATAATTAAACATAATTAATAAAAAACAAATATATTACACATACACAAATACACACATAATACCCTAATGTATAACACATTTTAAATAAAAAAAAACAATTACACATTAACACAAACAATTTCCACATACTACATCAATTAAGGCATAAAAAATGTTTAAACCTCAAACATAAAAAAAAAATAAAACATAAACACAAAAAAAAATCTGATTTTATAAAAATAAAATATACACGATTTATAAAAAAAAAAACACATAAAGTTGATAAATATTAAAAAAAATAAAACACGTTAACAAAAAAAAAATTAGACATAAAACAAAATTATTTTAAATAAAACTAAATTTCTGATTTTGCAAAATAAAAAAATAAAACAAAAAACAAAAAAAAAACAAAAAAAAAAAAAAAAAGGGGTCGGGCGCCTGGCCAGGACGCCCACCCACTGGCGGTGGCGCCAGCTCTGGCAGCCGTAGCCAGTGGGCAGGCGCCTGAACTGGACGCCCACCCATTGGCACAGGCGCCAGATCTGGACGCCACAGCCAATGGGCTGGCTTCTGGTTTGGACGCCTGGTCCGGTGGCTGGGCTTCCAAGCCAGACGCCACGCCACCGGCTTTGGCTGCCGGACCTGGCGCCCCACCACGCGCCACCGTCGCCTTTTTTTTTAAAAAAAAAAAAATTAATTAAATAATTACCTTGCCACCAGGTCGCCGCCTTTCCTCCGCCGTCGCCGCCGCCACCTCTTTCTCTTGCCGCCTCGACATTGTCGTAATTAATTTTTTTTAAGAGAGGTAGATTTTCTGATTTTTTTTAGAGAGAAGTAGAGAGTGTTTTTTTTTAAAAGGAAAAGGGCAATAAAGTCACACCAAGTCATATTTGTGGGCTTTATATGGTAATTTGCGGGCGATGTTTAGCGATTCACTATCATTCAAGGGTAGTAAAAGTATATGCACTACTCTATTGTGAATTCTAATCATAAATGTTTGTGTGAAAAGGTAAATCAAATCTTTTATATTTAAAGTAATTATCTTTGTGATTAACCTATGTAATAAATTATTTTCGTATAAGATTTTATTCTATGATTGATTTTTTTTTTCAAAAAAAAAAAATTAAGGACACACCAAGAAATGACACGTGTCATTGCCACCCCCATTTATTTATCAGACCCATATCATAACTATGGCGGGTCATGGCTTTTAAAGGCCTCCATTCCTATTTCCTACCTCTCTGAGTTATTTCATCGAAGCGCACTCAACGTTCTCCATTGAAGCGTTCTCCGTAGAATCTAATTCTTGTATCCCCCATTGAAGCAGCTTCTAAGGTAAGTTGTTTGTTGTTGTTATCATCACATCAATTTCACAATCTAGGGTTTATATTTGATCTAATCTAATTTAATTTAATTATCAGTGCTTTAAGTTTAGGGTTCGTAAATTCTTAGATTATGAAACATCATATCCAAAAGAAAAGAAAATTATGAGCGTAATTTGATTATTGAATCAAATATCCCTAAAATTATGAGCGTAATTTGATTAGGTTGAGCGATGGCGACGGGGATAATTCAAGCTTAAGTTTTCCATATTAGGAACAAGGATTATCATTTGGGTTTTGCGAAACATGTAGATTTTGTAAAGATTTCAAGTATCAAGAGGGTTAAGCCTTCAAGAAGTAAATTTTCGGTGATTAAGAGTTCGAACCAGGGATCTGATATTGCTCAGGGACGGGCCTGATTGAAATTGATTTCTGATTATGGATATTTATGGAGAAAACCCTTTTGAAGGCACATATATTAAAGGTCTATTAATTGTTGGAACTTATTATATAGCTTATTAATTGAACATTGCTAAGATCAATATCTGTGTAATTTATGATTGTTTGGAACTTGTATAGCTAAATATTAATGATTCTGATCATATGATTTAAATATTTTGTATGTGATTATAACTTCAGAAGAAGTAACATACTTACCTTAAATTATTTCGACAACAGTGACATGGACGATTCTTCTGATCACGATCAAGATTTCTCCGACGATGTAGGTAATCCTAATGGTGATTCTTCTGATCACAATCAAGATCACTCCAACGATGTAGGTAATCCTGGTGGTAGTCCTAATGATGAAAATGTTACACCACCTGTAAGTTCTAAACATTATTATTGTTTTTGATCAAATTTATCTCTTGTTACAACATATCTAACACTTGTGTTTGACCTTATTGTTTACAAACAAAATATATAATCTGTGCAAACTTCACTTATACCTATAAGTCATTGTTGTTTGGATTATTAATAACAAGCGTACAAAATGTTTTGTTTGGTTTGATGATATTGATATGAAATATTTTGTTTGATTTATACTTATACCTATAAGTTAATGTTGTTTGGATTATCAACAAGTGTACAAACTGTTTTGGCTTGGTTTGATGATATTGATAGGAAATATTTTGTTTGATTTACAGCCCGAGTTGGAAGATATAGAAAGGATATGTTGTATAGGTGGAGGGAGGGTTGGAGTATTAACTATGATGGTGCTTGCTCACTATTGGCACGATAAACATTTCGTTGTTTTGGATAAGGATGTTGAGAGGATTAATGATATGAATGGTATAAATGCTGCAAATGAAAGAGTTATGCCTTTTTCTGAGCCTGATATGGATTTATATCTTAACGAAGGTATTGACAGAGGGAATCTGCATTTTAGCTCCAACATTGATCATGAACTTGATCTATGTCAAATGGTTTTCATAGCAGTTGATATACCTCTTAAGATGAAGCCCAAAGTACTCAAGAATGACTTGGACATCAACAATTTTGAAGATGCTATCAAGAGTATACTACAATCAATAGATAGAATACCTGGTTAGAAGTGTGTAGCAATCAAATCTACTGTACCAGTTGACTATAAATCAAACATTGCCAACCACGTTCATGGGTTTTACGATGCTTAGCGTCATTACAAACCCGGAGTTCTTTTCTGTTGGTACTGCTGTTCAAGATTTGCTACATCCTCAGAAGGTGGTATTAGGTGATTTCTATGAAGGTCAGAATAGTTTAGCTCTCTTCAGAGATTTGTATGCGGGAGTGGTCAATGTTGATAATATCGAAATCATTGGTTCACAATCTTCTGTGCAAATAGGAAAGTTATTATCTAATGCAGTTCTTGCAGCTCAGTTGACACTTATGAATATCGGATCTACCTTATGTGAAAAGGTTGGCTCGAATTTTGATGATGTTAGAAGCACCATAACTGCAAACTCAAGATTGAATCAGGTTTTTACTAATTCAAGACCGGGTTATGGAGGGATGGGTTTGACAAAAGATATAGATTATTTGGCATATTTGTGTGAGTATGTAGGAATGACATTTGAAAAGAAGTTTTTTACCATGATTAGTGAAATGAGAAGAAGAAAGATGGATGAGCTCGTGCAAAATGTTTCACACATGATTGCAGCTTCTAAGAGTATAGCTATATATGGATTTTCAAACAAAGTGGATTCAGATGACATCAGAGAATCACCGGCAATTTATATTTGTCGATCATTGTTAAAGATTAACGGTATTCGTCTGAAAATTTTTGATCCATTAGTTTCTGACAAGACGATCCTCAAATGCTTTGCTCCTAGAGAGAGAAATCGAATATTGGTTGTTGATAACATAGGAGGTGCTTTTGATGTTGAAGCAATGGTCTTCTTAGTTGAATGGCCAATGTTTGCTACTATGTTGGAGGAACAACGTGATGAGCTAGTAAACACAATGAGAAGGTCATCCTTTATCTTTGATTGCTGTGATTTGATTGTCGATGTGGATGGTTTTGATCATATTCAGATCTACCGATTAGGAAAACCTAAGCTCAGCGCGATTTAATATGCTCGTAGGTGATAGTGATGAGCTTTGATGATTGAGATGGTAGATGATGGGGGGAAGCAGGGGATCAAAACTCCATTTGATGAAAGCTGACACCAAAGAAGAGGAGAGAAACACCTTTTTAGCTTTTTTTTCCTTTGACAGACTCCTTTTTAGATTAGTTTTAATGGTTTTGTAATGAAATTGAGTTAATTTTAGTTTGAGTATTAAAACTTTAGTAGTATGATTTTGCCTTGATTTTGAAGATCTCTTAATTCATACTTTTGCCCTAGTATTGTACTTATTGGTGAACCTTTTGGGTCGTATACTTTGATATGATTACATGTTTATTTCATCAAAATTCCTCATCATTTCCTCCTTTGATAGATCGTTTTGCTTAGGGTTGGAAAAAACTGACACAACACAATACCCATCCCGAAACTAGCAACTTTGGGTCAAAAACTCTCGGCCTATTTAATTAATTAGCTTGACAAGAAGTTAAATAGGTTAGATTTAAGTTGAAAATTTCAAATCAAAACTGACACACCTAACACGTCAACCCAATATATGATGTTTATTTAAGTATTCAATAATATTAAATCCTTTGAATAAATAGTATTATAAATTGCAATCCATTTCGTCAAAAACAGAAAATTGCAAACCACATTATCGTTTAACTGAAAACTTTTATGATATAAATATTTTGGCTGGTAAAAATTTTGGGTGAGGGAAATTTTATCGCAATTTTCTTTATAAATTAAAATGTTATAGACAACATTACAAGTAGATTAAATATACCGCCAACAACGGTAATTTGCAAGTCGACCCTTCATTTTTGGATAGCAGTGTTTCCAAGTTGCAGAACATTTAGGACAATGCTGTTTAGTGCACCTCAAGTGCAACTTTATACCAGCAGCCTTACAGCGAATCTCTTCTTCATTCCACTCCACGGATTGAGATATCCCAATTCTAGCAGTCTTTGAGCAGTCACGAACACAGAAACTATGTCGGGTAGCCAACACCTCCAATCGTTTGTGCCCATCTAATATTGTTGACAATGCAGTGATTGATAAAGCACATGAGATGAGATACAATCGTCTGAGTCTAGGACATCTATCACGGATTGCTATCGCTGCAGCATCATACACAACGCCAAATAACTGAAGACTTTCAACCTTTTCAAAGCAGACTGAGCGGAATACAAACAGATCTACAGGACACTTTACTTTCTTCAACTTCCTCCAATAACGCATAGCTTGCATAAAACATGAATATCTGTAACACAATGCCTCAGAGATAACCAACCACTGCAGGGAGGGTGTCCTGAAAAGTGCATATAAATTTCATAAAGAGGGCATACCCTAAGATTAACATTAGCAAATTGCATACTGATATCTTGATACATGTGATGAATCCAATTTTATCTGTAGTACTCCGGTGTTCTGCCATCTTAATAATATCATTCAGTGAGTAAAGCCATCTTCAAGAGTCCAATATCCGGATTTTTCCTCCCAAAATGCCCCTGCTATTTAACAATCAACTCCCAAAAACCACTATATACGCCTAAAACATTGAAATAAATGTACCCACAACCCCCTGTTATCCTTAATCTTTCAGGAAACATCCTTTGACAATTTCAATGGCATTCTCAAGATCCAATAAGTTAAATCTCTATAAAGATCAACCATAGGAATTCACATTGCTGACAAGTGATAATAAAGACTGGGAAGGAACCAAAAAAACATTCCATTTTCAATGGGATCAACTATAAAAAGACAAAGTTGACAACAAATTCATCTACCTTTCAGCTATATAGACATACTTATGTGTTGTGTGACTAGCAAAGTTTTACCAAGGCACAATGCAGACAAAATAGACAAAAAAATTCATTTACCTTTTAGCAATATAGACATACTTGTGTGCCTTTAGCACAGTTTCACCAATGCACAATGCAGAACAAGAGTCAACTGCCTTAATATCCAACATATGCTTCAGGAAACAAAGGTATCTTCTCTGAAACCTGGGGAAATCAAAGTCATTTTTCAACTTGTGGGGATCTATGACTTTTGAGGTTGATCACACCACCAGGTGACAATGAGTCTAATACTGCTGCCAACCACGACTTGCTTACCAAACATGCAACATAAAGCCTACAACGCCAAGGCACTCTGTTAATTATACCCATTAATATATCGTAGTTCAAGTCATCCCAGCTTCGCACCATAGTAGGGCCAGTTTCCGCCCTAGATGCTGCTCTAGAAAGTCTTGCAGCCTTCAATCGCATCTTTATACTGACAGTATAAGACAAACAAAGGGACAAAGAGATTATATCAAAACCAACCATAAAATAGCTCCATGAAAAGACGTGCAGTAGATATAATATTCAATTGAATTCTATTTCTAACCACGCTTTCTACCTTCTACAACACAACCTAACTTAGAGGCAATTGCACAGCCATCAGATGTTGGAATAATTTCAAAACTAGTTTTGCTTTTTCAATGCAGCGAGCTTGTAAATAAAACATATGACAACTGAAGAAGTGATGACAAAATGTAGATTCTAAGCAACCTTGGCCAACTTTACATACATTGCACGGCTGAACAGCTAAAATAACGTTGCCGTAATTCAGAGTTTGCCTTTTTAGTCCATCTTTTTGCTCAATAACAACTACAATCATACAATAATAAGACCAACCAGATTAATTTTACATATAATATCTATTTAAATTACCAGCACTTAGATAAAAAAATTTAAAAAAAAAAAAAATCAAGAAAAAAGAAAAAAGAATCTGGAATTTCATCTAACAAATTTTAAATTAATACTCAAACCACCAAACAGGATAATCTAAGTATTATCTAATCCCTCAACACTTCAAACTATAACTGCAAATTAATTTTTTTACAGCAATAACAACAGAAAACTTGAAATGAATATTGAAAATTGAACCGAATTTGCAATTGGGTTATGCCAATTGGTGGAAGACACTTTTCTAAACCAAATAAACAACCAACTAGATGAACAAAGGAAAATCATTGGAGTGTTTTGCTTTTCTAAACCCCAACTCCTTTAAACCACCATCTTTCTCCTCTGTGGGAAGCTCATTCGAGCCCGTAATAGGGGGAACAAACTCCCTAAAGACCGTAGGACTCAACAGAGGCCGATGTAAGAACGAAAAGAACGAGGGTTGCAATAACGACCTCAAATGCATTATGGGCCCTATAAGGTAATTTTGAGAGCCCCGAATTTGTTGTGGAACAATTTTAGGGGTTCCAAAGTTCAAATGTGGGTGTGAAAGTGGTATATCAGAAGGTCTCTTATAAATTTTACTAAGACTGTAATTATTATTACTAGAGTGTGGGGCTTAAGGGAGAAAACTAATTAAATATTTTGAGGAAATTACATACGGAGCATAAGAATGTATTTTGCCTTCACAACAATACCTGAAAATTTTAATACCATTAAGGATATATTAGAAATCTATGTAATTAATGTTTCGGTAGAATTTTAAGTACTCTGTAATTGAATTAGAATATGTATTGTAAGATGTCATTAATAAACATAAGATTTACCATCTCAAATCTGCAAAGTGCTTATATCCCGTTAATGCATGGGATCTTGATAATATAAGAAAAATATATATATAAGGTTTCAATAGAGGTTTAAGTACTCTGTAATCATACTTCACAATTAATGACATCTTAACGATAGAACACACATTTTAAACAATGTAACTCCTTTCTTATCCTAATTCAAAACACCTATGTTTCTAAAAAAAATATAAACCGCAACTCTGTGTTCATCAATAATTCATTATTGATATGCTTAGCCTGCATACCAAATAATAGCTTGATGCATGCTTTACTAGTTTCTCAATCAATCAATAATCATAAACATGCAATCTATGAAAGAACAAAAAAAAATCATTTTTGCTACTTTGTAAGTGATAAGTCTGATAACCAAATTCATATCAAATCGACAAAACACAAAAACTACCACATTTCATCACCAAATTAAGCCTAAAATTTCCCTACCTAAAAGGATTCAAAATTAATTTAGCCAAATGATAGAAATTACATCTTTCTTCACAATATCAGAAACCCAAAATCATCAACAGTAATTCAGCCATACAAGTGAAGCAAACATAACAAGACAGCAAGAGTCACTTTATCAACCATGATCAATTTATTTAATGGCGGAAAATTCAGGAACATAATTTATGCATCTTTCTTTCTCCTCTTCTTGCAATTTCAAATAAATCCCACAAATTGGGACATTATGAATTCTTTACATGAGATATATTGTAAATTTGTTCAGTAAAAATTTGCGGTAGGCATGTAAGTGTGTAAATCAAACAATTAATGACAAAAAAATTCTGCAGAAATAATACTATAATCAATTAGTAATTCTGAGATAAGATAACAAAAAATTATAATCAAGTGAGATTGAAAAATAGAATCATCAGCAAAGAATAGACAAAAAAAGGGTGCACATGCTAATACCAATCCAGCGCTGTTATCAGACGATAGATAACAAGAAAAACAGAGGCAAGATATGAAAAGAAAAATCTGCAAGAGATGCAATCTTCAAAATACAGAAGACATCTTAAATAAATACTACTTGAACCATATCAGACCTCAATGATCAAACTAAAAGCGCAGAACATTCTCGATTTTGACAAAATATATGAATAAATCCATCAAATATTATAAACATATAAAATCCCCAATGCCCAATAACTAACAAAGCAATTAAGAAATACTAAACATACAGCCAATTGAATCAAAATAAAATCCAAACAAAACAATTACATTGAGATAAAACTAAACGCACGAAATTTTCTCAAGTTTAGCAACATATAAGAGCCCATCAAATATTATAGCCAAATGAAACTAAAAAATTCAACACCTAACAAATTAATCAATCAATTATGATTACGATAAATCCCTTCTGAAATATTCAAATTCTGCATTTTACCATTAATACCCAATTATAGTCACTTTAATTATGAACAGAAGACGAACAATTACCAAACGATGAGGCAATTACACAAACTAAAAACCTTAAATTCTGACAGATTGAGTTCCAATATCCTCAAAACAGCAACAATACCAATGGATGTGACAGAAATTCAAAACCCTGGTGAACAGAATTCGAAGTGAATTATAGTATATTTTTTTTCTTTAGAAAATTCAGATAAATGATAAAGAGAAAGTAAAATGCTTGTAAAAGATTGTCTTCAAAAGAGTTAGCAACAAGCTTTTGAAGAATTGAAGAAAGAAAGAAAGGATGATTCTCTATTGGGTTGAGTTGAGAGGAGAAATTCCTATCTATCAGTTTCGATCTTATCCAGTTGACAGGAGTTCATCTGCAGTGCTTATTCTTCTTACTTGGCATTAGGTCTGTTCAATGGGCAGGGTTTGATCCAATTTAAAACGGTTTGGGCCGGGCTGGGTCAATGGTACTCATAAATGAGGCAGGTCGGGAAAGCCCATCTAACCTGATCTGACCAGACCCATGTAAAATCTAAAAAAAATTAATGAACTAAAGAGGCCCATCTGACCTGTCCCGACCCAATATATAACCCCATCTAACCCAACTTATTTAAAATTCAAGCCCATCAATGATCCTTCACAAAACAAATTCAGAACCTACTAGAAAAATAAGGGAATTAGTCAAACTAATTACTTAACTACACTATACATCAGTGAGAAATCATTACATATCATCTAATAAGGGTGTGTTGTGTTCACCTGATTTTAACTTATATGAACCTTTCTAATCTTATCTAAACTTACATGAAGTTATTAAAACTTATTTTAGTTGTAATTTGAACTTGGATAACCCTTTTTCGAACTTATTTTTCCTTAATTGGATTTAACTAAACTTATGTGAACTTTTTTTTTTTTAGGAAAACTAAACTTACGTAAACTTATTAGACCTGAAATAAGTTAAAATAAGGTGAGCACAACAGGTCTTGATAATAATTAACTAATAAATGAATGCTACTTCATGGCAAAAGGCAGGGATTGCAGAGCTTGAATTTGGAAAATAATATGGACTGTTCATTAGTGTCCAATTCACCTTTAGAACGAAACCTGGACTCAAGGGTCAATTAGTGAATTAGAGCCTTAGTCAGTGAATCAGTGTCAGAGATCAATACAGTTAATAATTACATTGTATTGTTCATTAGTTTTCAATTCACTTTTAAAACAAAATGATAGTGGCCATATGCAAACATGTAATACTCTCAACTAACCATGTTATAACAGTAGTTTATATAGCTCCTGCAACAAGAATGCTATACCATAATTACCAACCATGATTTAACATCAAACATTCAATTCCAATATAATAAAAATTATGAATTCAGCCCTTAAAAAGTTCACCTCTTTATCATCATTAGAAAATCACAAGCCATATGCAAGCTTAAAAAACAAACAACAAACAACAACAACAACAACAACAACAACAACAACAACAACAAAAGCGCATCAGTTCATCTAAATCTAACATTAACATTAGTTTACCACCAAAAAAATTATAAAAAAATGTAATTTTTATTCATCATTACAACATTTCATCAACCCCGGATGCATAAAATATAAATATTAATATTAGTTCAACCAAAATATGCATAGATTTTCCACCAAAAAAGTTCAAAAAACAAAAAAATTAAAAGAACTCCATATTAGAAAACTAACCAGAGAGTAAGAAGATCCCGCCAGAGATGAGCAGGGCAGGAGGGGCGGCCGCCCTTGGCCCAGGGAAAAGAAATCTAATTTCATATTCAATTATCTCGAAAAATACATAATTTTAGGGATATTTGATTGAACTCTAAACTTAAAGCACTGATAATTAAATTAGATTAGATCAAATATAAACCCTAGATTGTCAAATTGATATGATGATAACAACAACAAACAACTTACCTTAAAAGCTGATTCAATGGGGGATACAAGAATTTGATTCAACGGAGAACGCTTCCATGGAGTCCGTTGAGTGCGCTTCAATGAAATAAGTGAGGGAGGTAGGAATGGAGGCCTTTTAAAAGCCGATTTGTTAAACATCGCCCACAAATCTCTACATAAATCCCGCAATTATTTTTACTTTGACTCTTTTGCCCTTTTTCTAATTTTTACCGAAATCGTAATTCACTCTCACGAAGAATGTGGAGCTGGAGTGGATCGCCGCCGAGGGACACCGAAGAGCCGTCATCATCGCCGGAAAGCGAGATAATCCAGGAAATAAATTACGAAAAGTAGGGGTGGCGTCTGGTGAGGACGCCGCCACCGTGGCTGTGGCGTCTGGCCAGACGCCACTCCTACTTTTTGTAATTTTTTTTTAATTTTTTTTTTTTTTTTGTAATTTTATTTAAACTTTTTGTAATTTTTTTTAAATTTTATTTAAACTTTTTTTTTAATTTTATTTAAACTTTTTGTAATTTTTTTTAATTTTATTTAAAGTTTTTGGTTTTTTTGTGGTTTTTTAACTTTGATAAATTTGAAATTAAATATGTGTTAATAAGTTTAAAAAAAAATTGTTTTAATTTGAAATTATGTTTTAAATATGTGTTAATAAAATTATGTTTAATTTTGTATGTGTAAATTATATATAGAAATGAAATTTACAAATAAAAATTTAGAAATTACTTATGTTAATTTTGTGTTAAATGTATTAATTTAATCTTTATATAGTTATATGTATTTAAAAATAATATGACATAGTAGGATTTTTGTACATGATGGTCTCTTCGAAGATGCTCAACAAGCGATTGATTGGGCAAAACAAGTTGCAATTAGATCTGATTTTTGTTTAGTAGTAGCAACTCAGAAATCTCTCAAGGACTCTAGACGGAGACATAGTATGATGTATTGTCATTTCATATTTAAGAAATTCCATAAAATTGAAACCTAATCTATCCAGGCCAATTCTTGAGTTCATAGCCCAAAACCCAGCCGAGAAAACGAAAAAGGAGGATCTGAGTAATAAAACAAAACCAAATTAAATGAAATTCTGCAACATTTGAGATTGTTAGTCAATTAGACTAAAACCCAAAATAATTGAAATGTAAATCAACTAAAACGCTCAATAAACCCCATGCACGCAACACGCCATACTGTTAAACCCTAGATTTAAATACAATGGCTTTCTACTACTACACAATAAATAAAAATCCAATGTGATTTCACAATAAATTAATAAAACCAAGTATATTTGAATGATATTCAAGCACAAAAGCAAGGAAATTGATTAGAAAAAAGAACGATATTACCATAAATTGAAGAAATTAACAAGCAGCGGAAGAAATTTAACACGACTTCAACCCAAAATAAATAAATTTCAAGCGGCTTCAAAAGATAACTACGATTGTATAACAGTATAAGAATACAGGATCGTGATATACAATCAGGATAACGACTCATAGACAGTGTCGACCACCACCATGGCTTAGATCACGAGGACCCCGAAGGGGTCGAGCGACCTAGAGGTCGCCAACGGCTGAACAGGAGTGCGTTTGAGTACATTCGTGGTCGTGGTCGTGGTCATGGTCGTACATCGTCATCCAGTCTTCTTCGTCTGTGAATATGCCCGGAACTGGTACAATAGCTTACTTTAATTTACATTATACAATGTTTTTTAGATTACTTCTGACTTGTTAACTGTGTATAATTATGTGTTCAATAGGAAGAGTTGATATTGATCAGTTTCCATACAAGGACAGGATACCTAACATCATCATGTCATACTTGGACGGGTGGAATGATGTAGTTGGAGATGGTAATTGCGGATTCCGAGTCGTGGCTGATGTGTTTCAGATGGGCGAAGACAACTACGGTTTAGTGCGTCAGTTGATTTACAGTGAAATTGCCTCAAACCGAGATGTTTATGGTCATGTGTACCAGCAAGACTTGGAGTGCGTACACTATTTCTATGTAACCTTATTTTTTTGTAACTATTTTTATACAAACATTGATTTTTTGTATTCTACTTTTGACTACATTTATATCTTGCATGCATACGTTGCGCGTTACAAAGTAAAAGATAATGTCAAATTTTAAAAACTTAAACGAATATGTCAAATGTTACAAACTTAAACAATATTTTCAAATTTTACAAACTTAAACAATAACTGCAAATTTTAGAAAATGTTCTGCAAATAAACTGGCAAAAAGATCAGTAATCCCTCTTTGACACCGACTCCCAATGCGCAATGGCCCGTTCCAACTCATCAATAGCAGCTCTCCCAGATGCAGTCGTCATGTTGTCCCTCTCCTGAGAGAGTTTCTGTTCCACTTGCATCAACTTTCCCATCCACTACACAAAAAAAAATTATATTCAATAACGATATATAGCAATTACAAAAACACAACAATAAATGTTTAATGACACATACCGCATCCACGGTAGTGGCCGGTGGCATATCATGGTCATCTATATTCTTCCCCGCACCATGGTGAAATTGTGACGCCTTCAAAAAATTTAAATATATATAAACATAAAAAAAATTATAAGAAAAATAGCTACCAAAACCCAAATCAAATAAACTAAAAACATACTAACAAATTAACATAATAAAGAAATTAACAGAACACTTTAAAAAGTAATAGAATAAAAAATACACAAAGAAAGGAAAAAAACCAACACATACAAAATATATATAAACATAAATATAAATTAAAATAAATTAACTAACAAAAAACAATATCAAATAAGCAAAAAAAATGTACTAACAAATTGTAATAAAGAATAAAAATAAAAATGTACAAATAAAATAAACAAATAATTGTAAAGGAAATATAAACATAAAAAAAATACAACAAAATTGAAAAAAATTATAAAAATAAACAACATAACAAATATAAAAAACGTACTAAATAGAAAAACGTACTAACAAATTGCAATAACAGATATAAAAAAAATGTACAAAACAAACATACAAAGAAATGTAAAGGAAGTATAAGCGTAAAAAAATACAACAAAATTGAAAAACATAAACAACAAAATATACAAAAACAAATAAAAAAAAATATTCTGATTTTTTTAAAAAAAAACTTAAAAAAACATAAAACAAAAACAAAATTTTAATTTCAAAAAAAAATTACTGAAAAAAACAAAAAACAAAAAACAAAAATAAAAATAAAAATAATGATTTTCAAAAAAATAAACAAAATAAAAAAAATCTGATTTTCAAAAATAAAAACTTAAAAAACAAAAAACAAAAAAAAAATTCTAATTTCAAAAAAAAAATTACTTAAAAAAACAAAAAACAAAAAAAAAATTCTGATTTTCAAAAAAAAAAATCTGATTTAAAATAAAAAAAAAAAAAAAAAAAAAAAAAAAGTTGGGCGCATAAGGAAGACGCCACGCCACTGGTGGCGGCGCATGGGGAGGACGCCACGCCGGTGGTGGCGGCGGCGTCCTACCCAGGCGCTTGGGCCGTGGTTCCGGTGTCTGCTCCTGGCGCCACCACCACTGGCGTGGCGTCCTCCCCATGCGCCCCGCCTTGCCACGACAGTTTTTATTTTTTATTTTTTTTTGGAAAAAAACCTACCTTTCCACCGTGAGACCTCCTTCCCTCCGCCGCTGCCGCTAATTCCTTGCCTTGCCGCCTCGACATTGCCATACTTTGAATTTATTTTTTTTCAAAAAACGTAGAATGAAAATGGGTGATATATTTTTTGGTCAAGGGCAATATTGTCAAATAAATGGAAATTTGTGGGCTTTAGTTGGTAATTTGTAGGCGATGTTTAGCAATCCACATAATATGATCACCTAATTATAGGGTAGGGCAGGCTTGGTAAGGGTTTTAAGTAATTCTGTTTTAAAAGTATTAGTTTTCCTTGATTCTTCCATTTCTCAAATATTATTTTCGCACACCATCAAAGCTTGTATCAATTCTTTGTAAGTATTTTAGATTTTTTTTTAATTTTATTTTAAAAACAACTGAAATTACACTAATTAAACTGAGTTTACAACAAATAAAAGAAATGTAAAGTAACAAAAGTTATCATAGGCATAAGAAGCCCTTACACAATACCAATTAAGGTCATTAACGACATTTACCTTTAAGTTAATTACAACGAGTGAGGACAACGCACATAAGGCTTACCAACATACATTTAAACATGCAATGGGACTGTTGATAGAACGAGGGAAGTTGATGATGATGTTTCATGTTGTGCAAGGTCTTTTCTAACATACAATTAAAAATCTATGAATGTTGCTGAAATGAGAGAATGAGGGATAACTTAAGTGGTTAGAGCTCCCCTCCCGATTCTAGGTGATCTTGAGATCGATTCTCATCTCCCTCCCTTGTGGCTCTCTAAATACCAAAAAAAAAATGTTGGTGAAATGACGATGACGGCCCAAAATCAGTATGTCTTTTCCTAAAGGACCCCAATAATTCAAATGGATAAAATCCTCTTGAGATCTTTACTTCATGCATGTCAATCACATTTCTTTGCGATTGGACAAAACCATATCTTATATATATTCTCCTACAAGGTCATATATATTCTCTCCTACAAGGTCATGATGTTGTAATAACTTTTACCGTCAATGGGTTTAAAAACACCTAATACCATCTTCCTTCAACAAGGGTTTATGTAAACCTGAAATTGAAATTTTGCTCCGTCCCCCAACAAACATAAGTAACACCACTTTTATTAAATGAACACATTTATATTAAAACTAAAGAGATAGCAATTCCAAGAGACAAACGACTCCATTTCATCCTCCAATTAACCCTGAATTTGACTTGTCTTCGCTTTGCAATTTATTATATTGTGTGCTTCCAAAATCTAAGTTTTATTTTTTAAAAAAATTCACTTTAATTCATTTATTTGAGAGCATTATGAACTTTTGGGTGGATTTTCTTCCACTAGGTCGATTTACCAGTTACCTAAACAAAGGCTGATTTTTATTTTGTAAATCCATGTGTCGCAACCTAGTTGGTCCAAATTTTTTTTGGAAAAAAAGAAAAAAAAATAAATTAAAACCCTTCCCAGCCAGCCACCATCCCTCCTCCCCTTACCCCACCGTTAAACCTCAGCCCTAACCCCCAACCCCATCGAAATTCGAC